TCTGCCTCAGCTTCTCTGTATTCCTGTTCTCTGATTTCTGTTCCATTAACAGTCTCTTGCACCTCGTCTGGTCTGCTCTTAAGACCTTCTATTGATTGTTTCATTTCTGTTATCTCCCTCCAGACTTCATCCCTTAGCTCTTGCATATTTCTCTGCAGGTCCATCAGCATGTTTATGACTTTAATTTTTGACTCTTTTTCAGGAAGATTGGTTATGTCTATCTCACCAGCCCCTCTCTCTGGGGTTGTCTCAGTGATTTCTGACTGGTCCAGATTCTTGTGCCTTTTCATGGCAGTGGTCACAGGCAGGTGGTACATGTGTCAGCTGGGAGAACAACGTCTCTTTCTGCTTGTAGGTCGACTTGCCCTTCTCCATTGCCTGTGCCATCTACCCACACACCAGGAGCAGCCTCTTGGATATTCTCCTGAGCTGCCATGGGCATTGCGGCCCTTGGGATAGCCTAGTGCACTGCAGTGGGTCGCAGCCACTCCAGATGTGTTCTACTGAGAGAATGGTGCCCCTTGGTGCCTTCCGAACCTTGCTCTGGCTTCCTCTGTCTGTCCCGGTAAGCTGCTCACTGGGAGGAGACTCTGTGTGATTGCTGTGGGTTGGGCTGTTCTCCAGCTGCTCTGCAGCTGTGGCGGGTCAGCCAGTTTCCTAGCACCACCAGCTGGGGAATGAATGGCAGGCTGCTTATCACTGTGAGGGACTTTGGGGCTGCATTACCCCCCAGGGGGTTAGGTAGCCTTAAGTTCCTCATAATTCCTAGCCTGCTGGGCTAGGATGATTTTGTCCAGCTGTTGAGCCCTTGTCCCTTTAAGACTTTTAAAAAGCACCCGCTTTTCTTTTGTCCCAGGGGAGCCGGCTGTGGGGATTCACTTGCAGCTTCTGCCTCTGATTTTACTTTTCCATTTCTATGTGTGTATCTGTGCTCCCTGTGAAGATTACTAGGGTTGATTATTTTGAAGTCCTGTGCTTCCATTCCCTACCAACTCTGATTCTTTTCCTCCCGCCGATGAGCTGGGGTGGGGGGAGTGCTCGGTTCCTGCCAGGTCAAGGCTTTGTATTACCCTTTTCATGAGATGCTGAGTTCTTGCAGATGTAGATGTAGCCTTGCTATTGTACTGTATCTTCTGGTCTCTCTTTTAGGAATAGTTGTATTTGTTGTATTTTCAAAAATATATATGGTTTTGGGAGGAGATTTCCACCACCCTACTCACGCCACCATCTTGAGCCCCCTCCTCTATCCCTCGTAGTGTTCTTACGAGCAAAGTTTGGAACAATCAAGACATAGAGTTCTTTGAGATTCCCTCCATTCTCAGTCTAGAAGGCTATAAAGCATACACAGTAAAGTACAAAGTTGTAAGGAGAAACAAGTACATTCTAGTCACTGCCAATGGCTCTCTTCTGGAGCAAAACTCTCTATGTACTCCCCACCTTCAATCCTGCAACAAAGACCATTATTAATCTATTTTTTGAACTTCATTTCTCACTTTTCCTCTTTTCTACTCTTTACTCCAGCTAAATGGAACTATTAACCATACCCTGACCATACCATCTTCCCTCCATGTACTTGTTTATACTATTATCTTCACCTTGGATTTATATTTGTATGCTTTTGAAGGCTCATGCTATGCTAAGAATCATGTTAGATAACTTACATATATTTTCTCATTCATTTCCATTACCATACATCCTACCCATCTTTATTTCTTTTAAATAATAATAACCATTATTAAGCACTTAATTTGTGTTAGAAATTACATGCTGAGTACCTTACACTAGCTCATTTAATCGTGATAGCAGCCATATGAAATAGGGTAATACTACTGCCCTCATTTCATAATGAGAACACTGAGGCTCTGGAAGGTTAAAAAATTTGTCCATCGCCAAGGGAGAAAATGCTTCCTAGAAAAGTGCTGAGCTCAGAGCTGAGTTCTTAAAGAATAAAGTGAAGGCTGTTGGGGAACAGTAGCATGCCATACAAGGACAACATACACAGAGGCAGAGAAGTAGGAAACACCTTGGTATGCAGCTCAGGAAAAAGATCAGCCTTCAGAATCAGCAGACCTGGGTTCAAATGTCTATTTTTGTTTTGTTCTGTGCCCTCTTAGTGTGGCTCTGGTTTTCTCATCTGCATAATGGTGATAGCAAGCTAAACTGTGTAGAACTGCTTTAAGATTAAAGTTAAACATAGTAGGTCAAAGTGCCCAGCACAGAGCCAGGCCCATGGCAGGAACCCAAAATAAATAAATGTTATCTCCCTTTCTTTCCCCCGATTAACAGTTCAATAATCTTTAGTCTTTTAAGAATGTCATTTCCATCTCCACTGGACCCAAGACGTGTCTTCCTTCTCCAAGTTACTAAACTTTACAAGGACTTTTGGAGATGAAGCAAACGAAAAAAATCATTCAACAAGTTCTTTGGTAATGTCCTTAACCACCATTTCTCAAAAAGAGCCATTCTCACACCACTCACCTGTGTAGGCCATGTTCTTAGGGTTGCCATAAGGAGCCCCAGGCTGAACGGGGCTATAAACAGGGTTCATTGTAGAAGACTGAGGATCCTACAGAGAAACAAAGAAAACAGCACTGATTATTGATGGTTCGTTCTCCTCATACCAGCTTACCCTCTGCAGTCTTCAGTTTATACTCATAGAGGAGTAACACTGTACAGTAGAAAGAGGATTAAATAACAAGCCATTTGTTTATAGTTGGATTTATGCCAGACACTTTTCTTGTTACACAGGTGAAGACACTGAGAAGCAGAGAGGTGATATAACTTTCCTAATGTCAACACAGGCCTTTTAGATCTTAGTTCAGTACTAGTCCAACAATCCCACAGACAATCCTGCCACTAGCATACTGTGTGGTGTTTGCAGTCACTTGCCCTCTCTGGGCTTCAAATGTCCTGGTGCAAAATCAATTCATTTAGGCTCCCTGAGGTCCTTTTAAATTCTAAGATGCTAGTCCAGGAGCTGGAAAAAGATGCAATTCTACTGTTCACCACAGGAGCCCGAGTGCCTGATGACAGCACACAGACCTCTATTAGGAAGAGCACCAAGTGTCACACCAATCCTTTCCACCTTCAGAGGACAAGATACCTGTTACTAGCAGCTTCAAAAAAAAATGGGAATTCACTGCCAATGATCATTTTAATGCAAAAAAGAAAACACAGCCAAGATCTCTTTCAAAACTAATTCAAGGGAAAGAAACTTGGAAATTTGTGTGCAATAACTATCACCTGCACAAGTGCTCTGTTAATTATCTTAATGAAGCACATTCTCCATTCTGATTAATGGAAACATCTGTCATTAAGCTCTATTAGTCGGCCAATTTGTCCCACCTTGTTTAGGGAACAGTTTCTGACATACAGGCAGACACATGTTTGAAAATGTCTCTCTAAATATATTATTTACACTTCATAAAAATCAAACATTCCCTCCTAACTAGGTTCACATGATAGATGGGTTATGTTTTAGGTCATTAACTTCTCCTGCAGCACCTCAGGAGATGAAACAAGTCCAATGTTGAAGACAGGCAGTCAACAGCTGGCTTAAGGATAACTGCTCTGCAATTAATTAGTTTGTCCAGGGTTCTGGAATGAGAGGTGAAGAAAGGATGGGTTTTCAGAGAGAGGAAGGTGGGGCAGTCAAACAGGCAAAAAGGCAAATGCTGCTGGTCAAGTTCTGAGGACAGAACTTACTGAAATGCATCCAAAGGGCAGTCCTGGCAAACCACCCCAGGAAAAGCAGCTAGATTAAACCACCACCAGTTGACAAACTGAAACTGGTACAACTTGAGAGTGAAAGTTACGGGAGATAGAGATTTCACACAACTTAAGGAAAAAAACATTCTTGCAGCCAGAGTTATATAGCCAAGTAACACTCTCTAAATATAAGCACTGTGGGGAAGTTGGGGTTCCTATGGCCAGGATCCTCACTGAACTTAAACCACCTGATGATGTAACTGTCTGTTGCTAGGCTATCACTTCCACACCTTTATACAATAAGCTACTATTGCACTATATAGAGAGCTCGGCCCAGTGCTCTGGGTGGAGGCAGAGACGCTAGTGCTTGACCTACCACTGGGGGAACCAGCCGGGTAATAAACCCTTTCCCCTCAAGAATGTTTTGCTGTCAACTTCTTTGGTCACACTGAACCCATAGAAAACTTGCCAGGGGCTGAAACCCATTGGCAAGACAATTGGCATAGTCAGCAGGATTCCCTGTTGACCAAGGAAAAAGACAGGCTGTCCTTATGGGAGGGTTGCTTCAGTGGGCTGCCCCTGTGAATGGGGAGACAGTGGATTGTCCCCCAATGGGTATGTGGTCTGAGGTGGCTTGCCTCCTAGAGGACTGGGCCCCACCCCAGGACTGGAGGCAAATAGAGGTGACACCTGAGGCAGTAGGGGTGGCCCTTGGTATAGTAAGTAGGTCTTCTGGGAAACAGAGTGCCTGTGAGGCAGCAGGGACTGTGGGTTGGCTGCTTCTCACAGTATTAAAAAGGTCTACAGAAGAGACCCAAGAAATGGTGACATGAGAATGTGAGCTGCAAACTTCTATAGATTCCCTAAAGAAAGAAATGGAATTGATGTGAGAGGATGCAGCATGAGAAGGTCGGCAGCAAGGTGCCATTGATGAGGTAAAAAATTTCTCACAGGAAGAGATGGCAGTGCTGCCAGGTGTTCCGAAGGAGGAAGAGGCCATCAAGGAAAAAGACAAACTCCTGAGGGATGCACAGGCGGAGGTGGCACGAGAACATCAGCTGCAAAGCATTGAGGAGACAGTAAGAGAGCTGCTGAAGACTGATCTAGCATTGCTGTGAGGCACAGTAGAAAAGGTAACGGTTGTAGCAGAGGAAGCACTCAGGGGAGGGGAGAGAAAGGTGCCATCAGCCCCATAAATGGAGGAGCTGGGGAAGGATAAAGGGGTGGTGCCGGAGATACGGGCCCCTCCTGTATATTGAAAGCACACCTAGTGGTTGTAAAGAAAATAAAGACCCAGCAGCTGAAAGTTCCCCAAGGAGAAGAGTAGCCCCCAACCCAGGTAGTGGAGCACTCTATGCTCCATCCCTATACTCAGGCTGAGCTGGTGGGGTTGGGCTCCCAGTTTAGGCAGATGCCCTCGGCGTCAATATAAGCTTGGCTCTTGCATTTGTGGGACTTAGGGGTGGATGGAATTGTTCCATTGGGATGAGAGATGGGAAAGCTGGCTTCCCTGAAAGTGCAGCCCGCCTTGAGACAGCAATTACAAAATGCACATCAGACCCCAGGGGGTCACTCCCTCAACTGGCTTATGGCTGCACTTCATGCTGTGTGGCCCAATCCGGGTGATCTACCATCCTCTCCTGTTAGATGGCAGATGTATGCTGAGCTCCAACAGGTGTTATGAGAGCTAGGCATGAGAAATGTCATGTATAGTCCAGAGAATTATGGCCCAGATGAAGAGATTTTTACTACTGGGATGAGAAATACTGTGCTTCAAATGGCTCCCACATCCCTCTTTGGGTCTCTGGTGGCCATTCTTTACCCCCACTTAGGGCATACCATAACCGAGGTGATACGTACAGTAGCAGACTTAGGAGAGGCTGAAGCAATAAGAACCCAGAAAGAAATAAGATCTGCTACTCAAAAGAAGAATTTAAAGGGCCCCATGAAGGTTATGAGGACCCAGATGTGGGTTGATCTACTACAGGCAGGAGCAGATGGAAGAAAATTAGATGGGAAGTCAAATAGGGTCTTACTAGAGCTATGGCAACAACTGAAACCAGAGCAGAAGTTCCAGCCATTAAGACCAAAGAGGTAGAGGTCAGAGACAGAGCCATGAGTCCAGCCTGTGTGTTTGCAAGACTTCCTGCCAGAGAGCGAGCCAACCTCACTTGAGCCCACACAGAAAGGTGATTGGGGAACACAGTTTTACTGAGAGGAAGGTTTGACTGAGTGACCAGGGGGGACCAGAGGCCACATGTTGAAATAGCTGTCCATTGTTCCCCAGTGAACATACAGTGTGTCCTGGCTCTGGTGGACACTGGGACATGGTAACCCTGAGCAGTTCTCTGGGACCCCCACTATCATAGATGGACACGGGGATAAGGCTATCAGAGTGAAAAAAGCCCATATCCCTTTGGGAATAGGGTGTCTACCCCCAAAAGAGTACTGTGTATATATCTCCTATCCTTGAGTATATTTGGGGGATTGATATCCTGCAGGGTCTATGGTTGCAGACCACTGCAGGTGAGTTCAGACTGAGAGTACGTGTGGTGAAGGCAGTTCTGAGGGGACATGGTAGGCACCTGGCCATAGCTTTGCCTGTGCCTTGGGGGGTGACTATTCCCAAACAATACAAACACTCTGGAGGGCATAAAGAGATTTGAGAAATTCTCTAGGAGCTGGAAAAGGTGATGGTATTATAAAGCCCACCAATAGTCCTTTCAATTCTCCAGTGTGGCCAGTAAAAAAGCCAGATGGCTCCTAGCATATGACTGGGATTACAGAGAATTGAATAAAGTCATACCCACTATGCATATTGCTGTCCCCTCTATTGCAGGCTTGATGGATACCCTCAGCCACAAACTAGGAACACATCATTATGTGGTAGATCTTGCTAATGCCTTCTTTTTCACTGACATTGAGCAGGACAGTCAGGAACAGTTTGCCTTCACATGGGAAGGACAGCAATGGACTTTCACCATCCTTCCACAGGGATACCTCCACAGCCCCACCATCTGTCATGGACTTGTAGCCCAGGACTTGGCTACATGGGAGAAACCTCCAACGGTGCAGCTGTACCATCATATTGATGATGTCATGCTCACGTCCAGTTCTCTTTCAGATCTAGAAGGTGCAGCACCCAGACTGCTGCAACACTTACAGGGGAAAGGATGGGCTGTGAACAGTACCAAGGTTCAGGGATCTGGTTTGTCTGTCAAATTCTTGGGGGTCATCTGGTTGGGTAAGACCAAAGTTATACCAGAAGCAGTTATAGATAAAGTTCCAACCTTTCCTACCCCTACAACTGTAGCATTGCTACAGGAGTTTCTGGGTCTTCTAAGCTACTGGAGTGTTTATCCCACACTTGGCACAAATTCTGAAGCTCTTACACTGGTTGGTACGAAAGGGTGTCAGGTGGGACTGGGATGAGACATGTGCATCTGCCTTTACTACAGCAAAATGGGCAGTCAAGGCCATACAGGCCTTGAGTGTGATAGACCCATCAAGGCCCTGTAAGCTGGATGTTCATGTGACTGAAGATGGTTATGGCTGGAGTTTCTGTCAGCAGCTTGAACGAACTCACCAACCCGTTGGATTCTGGTCACAACTCTGGAAAGGGGCAGAGGTACAATACACTTTGACAGAAAAACAACTGGCTGCCATGCTGGGTACAGAATCCATCATTGGATTGGCCCCGATAAAGGTAATAACCACCTATCTCATCTTGGGGTGGGTACAAGACTGGACCCCCAAGGAGTGGTGTGGCACAAATGCCCACACTGGCCAAGTGGGTTGCTTACCTACAGCAGTGTAGTGCCCTCCCTAGTAGCCCCTTGAGTTAAGAACTCCAATGTT